GCAAAACCAACACAAAACAGATTCTCCCCTTAGTTGCCAGAGGAACCAGCTTGACTGTTTTGACTTTGACCAATGACAAGGATGTGAATGTTGGATTTCTAGAGCTGAAAAGAGTGTGATGCTTGAATCTGTTCCATGTATTGTAATTTGTTACAGAATCCAGATAACGTAGATCCATCTTTCCCAACTGTATGGGTTTCTTCAGCAGCTTTTCAAGGACATATTTAATGAGGTCTGAGATATGGCACTGTATTGGGCATGAAGTAAACAAATGTCTATACACCCCAGATTGGAAGCAGAAACAGACTAATATAAGGACACCCCCAAAACCCAATTTAGTGAATCAGTGCCTGTCACTTTGGTACTTTTAAGAATATGGGTGAGGGCCAGAAATGACTCAAGGAGAGCTGCATCACCACAGTTCACCACAGCATGGGTGACAGACCACAAAAGCTGGAAACCTAGCAGGCAGCTCAATAGGTTGGAGGCTGTCCTTTCCAGATAGCTCACTTGGTCTGAGTCTCTTCCAGGCAGCTTAGCTGGTCTCTGCTTCTTCCAGACAGTTGGCTGATGTCACTTTGAAGCAGGACAGCTGGTCTGAGAGTCCCTCAGCAGACCATGAAGTTTATATAGACTTGGGGAGGGAGGAGCCTAATGTATTTGGTCAGTTTCAGGGACTTCCTGAACCTTTATGGTCATTATTTCCTGAGTTTAAGGAGCTTTCCTACAGAACGGAGTGTTTTGTCTCCCCTTAGAGCATTCTGTCCTCTAAACTTTCCAACATCCTGTGTTTTAAGGGACTTCTTTCCAAGATGGATGATTTTAATCTTGGAGGAAACATTTATGGAGATCAAGGTCCCAAATAGAATATTTGACAAGCATTACATTTATTTTTTGCATTGATAATCTCCTCTCTCTCTCTCTCTCTCATTTTGCATGGGTAATTTTAATAAGATAGGGTATGAGTTTTCTAGAGCTGTTATAACAAAATAGGCCTCTATCAGCTACCAAGATGCCTGAGTGCTGACAGTTCTAGAGGTTGGAAGCCCAAGGTCACATGTCAATCATTTAGTTTCTCCTCCTAAAGCCTCTTTTCGGCTTTCAGAATATCACCCTCTAGTGAGAACTCATTTTGTCCTCATAGTTCTCATACAGTCTTTGTGTTACCATAAACATGTAAATTCCCCCCTTTTCTAAGAACAATAGTCAGGCTGCATTAGGGTCCACTGTAACAGTCACCTCCATTTCATTAGCTAATATAACTGTCTCCAAATACAGCTGTATTCTGAGTTACTGGGGACTTTGAATTGCAGGTAGGAGCACAATTCAGTAATGATGGTGATTTACATACTGGTGTGTTCCACGACAGTCCTTAAAGTGACAGAACTAGGTCAATCAAGAGGAGGCCAGTTCCTCTTCCTGAAGTGCTTCATAGGTAAGCTAATTTGCATTTGTGTATAAATGTTCACTCAGTATATGAGGGAAAAATAATAAAACAGCTGTAGGAAGCCTCCACAGTCAGGGTCTTATTGTTCTTATACCATTTAGGTCATTTTCAGAAAATTGCAGACAGGCCCATCTTCAACTTGGAATACTTTTTCTCTTTGCTTCCCTTTGAGACTGGTTGGCCCATTGTTTGTTTGTTTGTTTGTTTGTTTTTAGTATACAAATGGCTGAAGTTACTTTTATTTTTTTAATATCTTGCCTTATGAATTGTTTAATAGTTTTGAAATGCATAATCTAGTTCCTTCTCATTACCAGTGTATATATTATCCCTAGGTGCAAGGGGCATTTGTTTGCAGTGCAATTGTTCATTGTATTTTGTTGTAGTCAAAGCTACAGCATTTCCAGTACAATATATAGAATAATTTGCTAACAGAAGCATCTGGAATTCAGAGGCAATAGGATGCCTGCGCCAACACACAGAGGAATATACTAATTAATAGGAATATCAGGATCTGAACCCATGATCTTGAATTCTTAGCACTTGAGGTTTGTTTGATTTTTGTAGAACTCTGGTTTGAACATAAAGCCTTGCACATGCTAGGCAAGTACTCCATAACTGAGATATACTTCCAGCCTTTGATTCTTCATGCTTACATCAATGAAAGTAATTCTGTGGTTTTTAAATCATGTCTCCAGATACACTAATGATTAGATTTGGAGTTTCATAATAAGGACAAAGAAATATATCTAGAATTTTGGGAGGAAAGTAACACATCTTAGATAGTAATGAGCTTGAGGGAATATAGTAGAGACTAATCTTAGAGAACTTGCGATGGAAAATTCTAGCATTTGTGTTATCCATTGATTTCTCGTGTTTTAATATATTAGCTCCCCAATACTATGAAGATTATGCCTGTAAGCTCTCAGACACCATGACACTCTTTCAATGTGAACTGTAGAACTAAAAGACATTTTTATCCATATTCAATAAATCATTTGTATAGGAGGAGGCAGGAACAAGGAGTGTGCAATCTGGGAGATGGGAGAGGAGGAGAGAACACCATATGTTTGTCTTGCTTATTGAAAATCTATGCATCGCAAAAAGGCATTCCATTTTTACTTTATTTTGGAATAAAACCAAGATCATAATTTTTAATTACTGAAGTGTGAGAAAATATTCTTAGTTGGTTTAAAAGCACACGTTAGCGTATTTATTAGCCAGCTCATTGAGTCGAGGGCTGGAGACTTGATCCTTCATTTGTAGTTGTCAACCAACAGATGTCAGTAACTGAAAGCTATTTGGAGAATGTGATAGCAAAAATAAAATCACCTCTTTTTCTAAACTTGGATATTTCTTGTGGTCATTAGGTATATTTTCTCTAAAGCTTTTCCAAATTCTAAATGTATTACCATGTGCTGTCATTTACAGTGTTAATAACCTAGGAAGGCAAATTGACTCCCCATCAGTTCTTGAAAAGTTAAGGAAATCTTTTTCAAAGATGCTTGTATTATTTTTAGTTTGTTATAAAATAACAAGAGGGTCAAATAAAACATATATGAGCAAAAAATATGTAGGACATTAAAATCTATCATCATGTTAAATATAGTGTGTGTTAAATATAGGATATAGTTTTCCCTTGCTATATAGCATGTCCATTATCATCTTAAAAACATGACCACATTCTCTTATGCACTAATGTAAGTAAATTATATGCTCTTTTGCAAGTGATTACTGCGTGTTGTTTTATATTTGCCAGAAAGATGTTTAGCAACTTACAAAGTGAATTTAATATAAGCCATTCTTCTCTTACTGTACACTTCTGGCAAAGATATACACTCAAAAATTATGATACAAAATGGTTGTATACTTACAAAATTCTGTCAAAATGGTCTGGTCTTTTTCTAAAAACACAGTCTACTTTCAAACACTCCATAGTTAGCACTTCATCTGTGAGTCACCAGGACTCTACTCTGCCAACTCTTACTTATATACTTGCTTCTCTTAAGCCAGTTTAATGCCTAGGCTTGGGAGGAGAGGTGAAATTCTGTATTGATCATTCTACAATGAAATGGCAACATATAGAATTACAAAGGAAGGCAAGAAAGGACAGGTGAAAGAAAGGGAGTGTATCTCACTATATCCTTGATACATGCCATCTGTGTCCTCTCCATTCTACTTCCACAGTCATACAAGGGTTTATTCAATGGTTGGAATAAGGGTCATTGTCAATCCATCCATGTCACTGAATTATTTATATACTGAGAAATCCCAAAAATTCTGAAACAATTTTAACATAGCAGTGTCTTAGACGCTGCTGGCACATGCTGGGTTTCAGTGAGTAATGACAGAACTTTAGTCTATAGTGAAAAAACACTAGCTAAATTTAATTATTGCATACTTATGGGTCACTTTACCACAAGCTATCTGACAATAAATGGAGTTCATCTACGGCTGGTTATGAAATTTCTGGTATAGCTGGGCCACTCACTGGTGTGTAAACTAGTTATAGGAATTTAGAGAAGGCGTAGGTGCTGTTCATTTCAGTCTGCAATCAAAGAGGGAAGGAATTTCAGAAGCAATGAAAATCATTTTCAAAAAATATATAAAAGCTCTTTCTGAAGTGAAAATGGAATTTAACATGTAAAGAATGGACAAGAATCTTTGGAATTTTATATTATCTTATAGGCCCATATATTTTTACTTTAATCTTAGGGCATCCATTCTCTGGGCAAAGAAAAAAGATAGGCATTTCATTGGTTAGTGTTTAGAGATATTTGGGTTACATTTACCAAGATCCTAGGATTAGTAGGGGGAAATTTCCCCATTCTCTAGTCTGACAGGAATGCCAGTATTACCTGTGCATGCAAATTACCTTTATTTTTGGATGTAAACCTAAAATTGAAATTTAGTCTTAACTAAACTTTTACACATTTGAGCTAAATCAGATACCAGAAAAGTAGGAAAGTAGAAATTGTCCCATGCTGTCTTCTAACCTTGTGTTCTATATCTCCTGAGCATAGGCTTATGGCGTCCATTATTGGCATAAACCAAGTTAAGCTTATCTGTTTATGTGTAACCATAAAATTATCCATTGGTTAATTAAAGCACAAATAGTTACAGCTGGGTGTAACTAGTCCATGTCTTATTGCTAGGTTATGCTAAATAAAATATTTAAAACAAAATGGAGCCTGGTCTACAAGAGCTAGTTCCAGGACAGCCTCCAAAGCCACAGAGAAACCCTGTCTCAGGAAAAAAAAATGCACAGGAAGCCAACTAGGGCACAACAAACCAAAGCAGAGCAGAGTCACCCAGGCTGAGGTTCCATACCAAGCAACTGGAACTGTGTTGTTTATCAGACTTTCTGATAAATCAGAGAACAGAAAGTCAAATACACTCTGGATCAGAGTTAGCCCACTTTAGACAATTCTCCCTGTTTTAACCTCTGTCAAAATGACCAATCTGCCTTTGTATTCTGTCTCTTATTTCCTTGACCTTTCTTTGCCTATAAAAACACGTTTCCCTCTCTTGTCGGAGAAGCTTTTCTCCCCCCACCAAAAGGAGAGCAGGACCACAGTCCCCCACTACCACAAATTATGTAGTTGAATTTCCTGTATTTGGGAAAATCGCAGGGGTCAGCACATCTGGAGTGCATTGGATAAGTCTGGCCCGGGAAAACTACCTTCGTGATCATGGTATCATGGGAGAAGCTTTCTTAGGTTCGTGCTCCTCTGATTCAGGAATCTCAGATTAAAAAGTCAATTGATTCATTTAATTGAATTTGGACTTTTGACATATACAAGGAGGCCAAGGTTCCTGCCTATGGTGGTTTGAAAGAAAATGTGCTCCAAAGGGAGTGGCACTATAAGGAGATGTGATCTTGTTGGAGGAAATGTGGAGGCGGGCTTTGAGGTCTCATATATGCTCAAGCCATGTACCGTGAGACAGACCACTTCCTGGTGCCTGTGAGTTAAGATGTAAGAACTCTCAGCTATCTCTCCAGCAACATGTCTTCTTGCATGCTGCCATGCATCTTCCACTTGATGATAATGGACCCTCTCAGCTATCTCTCCAGCAACATGTCTTCTTGCATGCTGCCATGCATCATCTTGATGATAATGGACTAAGCCTCTGAGACTGTATGCTGCCACCTCAATTAAATGCTCTCCTTTGTAAGAGTTTCTGTGGTCATGATGTCTCTTCACAGCAGCAGAAACCCTAAGACACTGCCTTTAAATGGCAACATAAACATCTTATTAGCAGTGTAGATAATCTGTAAATAGTAGGTAGAGCAGTTTGCTATATAAGCTCAATAAGTACAAATTTCCTGAAACACATGAGTTCCTATCTTATTTTGCATTGCAGTGCTACTTATGGCAGACATGACAATAAATAAAATAATAGTTTCCAAATTTTTAGCCCCAGGGACTTCTTATATTCTTAATAAATGCATTGAAGACTCAAAAGATATAAATTTATGTTCTCCGTCTATAGGCATTTAATGCATTAGAAAATAAAGTCAAGAACTTAAAGAAGAAAGCAAACAGGTTTTCCATCCACTGATCTCCAGCAGTCAGAGGAATGGTATTTTCACATTTCATGATATGTCTGTAAACCCCCTCAGTTTGCTCATGGTGGATAGAGACTATTTTCACATTTCATGATATGTCTGTAAACCCCCTCAGTTTGCTCATGGCGGATAAAGCAAAGGAACATATAACCTTAGTGTCATGGAGAAAGTGAGTTCAACCTCCTCCCTGTATGGCCCATGATGCCTCTGGCTCACCCTTGGAGAATGACTAATCTGTAGTCAGGATTCAGTTATTTGAACGAGAGACCAGGTCATCAGGATCTTCTAAGCCAATATTATTTCATTTGTAAATAGTGTCATCATTGTCCTTCGAGGAGAATCCTTTCATTTTCATCATTTTTTATTTGCGTGTTTTTAAATTATATTCATTTATTTAGAGAACATGTGCCATGATATGTGAGAGGGGTCAGATGAGAACTTTTGAGTTCTCTCTTTCTACCATGTGGTCCCAGGTATTGAACTTAGATCATTAGGCTTGGAATTGATACATTTATCCAGTGAGCTATCTCACAGGCTCTTCCTACTATTTTAATTTATCATAATGCTTTTAACACTAAAAATTTAACACCCAGTCTTTAACATTATCAAATATCACTTAGTATGTCCCAGTCAATTTCTTCATATCAAAATTCAAATAAGGTTCACTTTTTACAGTTAGTTAATGTGTCTTCTAAGTCTCTTTTGGATTCTTCCTCCTCCCCCACCCTTCTTTAGTTTCTTTGTTGGAGAAACTGGATCATTTGTCCTGTATCACTTTTTATATTCTGCACACAGCTGATTGCTTCCCCACGGTGGTACTCACACATCCTCTGCTTCTGTGTGTCCTTCTGTGTGTCCTGCATGTGGTCATGTGATCTTCTAAGTTGTTTGGCAAGAACACTGTGTAGATGGTATTATAAACTTCATCTGATCTCCTTAGGATACATGATAGCCATGGCATCTTGCTGTGGTGTAAAACCTGACAAAGGGGATATCAAACAGGAAGATGATGGAAGTGAAAAAAATCTCCTTATTAAATGATACAAAGATGTTCAAGGTTTTCTGTTACAGTACCCAAATCGCTCATCATTAGTGATTGGCCTATAATCTCATCATTTTCTTCAGCTGGGAGTCTTGGAAACCAAATTGCATGCATTGAAATAATCTTTGACATTATTTAACTTGAATAGCATTTTTATAAGGTAACCCTCTTTACCTGAAAAAGCATAACTACTTCCATTTTCATCTCTCCCTCTAATACTAAAATTTGAAGTAGGTATATCATTGGAACAGACTCTTTGTTAATAATGACTCTATTGTCCTTTGAAGCCAGGACAACCTGATCTCCACAAGGCATGCCATATAACAACAACCAAAAAATACTTTCCTCCCTATACTCAAGTGTGAAGGGTTTTTTGTTTTTGTTTGTTTGTTGTTGTTGTTTTTATGACTAACAATGCTTCCCTACCCAATAAAAAAATTTCTTGTTGACAGTATGGTGTCTTTGATGCTTGGCAAAGTTCTCTTAGGCTAAACCATTTTTGTAAAATCCCCAAACATTTAAAACTTCAAATATGATAATTCAGAGTCAGATGACTCTCAAAGACAAGGACTCATCACAGGAGAAAAATAAGACACTAGCTCAAGGTGTTTGCAAATTGACAAGCTACACTTTCATTTGGTACATTTTCTGCCATTATCTAAAAGGAACTTTCAGACCTTCTAATGATTGATCTAGCAAAAAGTTGTTCGGTGGTTAGAAATGTCACCATTTTCTAGAGGAATCCCGCATTCACAGAGAAAGACATTGCTATGATTCTAAATGGTCTTAGAAAGAAAACTGTGTCTCTTATGCCTTATAAAAATGTTTGCCATTCTTTGTTTGGTCATGATTGATTGCAGCCTTCACTGTTAGTCCTACTGGTGTTAATCATCTCCAAGGTGATTTCTGTTTCCTTGGCAACTGTAATGTTTATTTTTGTGTGACAGCACTGGCCTGTTCTATGATGGTTTAACATGGTAAAGTCACCTTGCAATGTTAAGGTGTAGACATAAGTCTTTTATATCACTGATTTTAGAATCACATTTAGTCAGCTCTAAGCATGATGACTACCTTGTCTTCTGATGTTTGGATTACAGGATGTTCTCAGCTAACACTCCTCTCTGATTCCAAGAAACCATCCTTTAAACTCCAAAAGGCTTTTACTGGCTAAAGAAACTCTTGGTGTTTTATCTAAATTTTCATAACTTCAAGCAGGCATAACGCATCACTGTTATATTCATATGGAAATAGCCAGAGGAGATCAAGGTATAACTGCTCCAAGAAAATGAAATAAACACTAAGTGAAAATCACACATTCTTTAAGCCAAAGGTATCAATCAAGTGCAACTAACATTAAGTTAAAGTTCCTGAATTTCATTAAAATTAATAAAATTCAAGAGTGAATTGCAAATGAGGAAAATCTCTGATCTTTCCTGTCTCCACTGGAAATAATAAACATCTCAGTTAATATAAAAACTTTCCTATAAAATCGGTAAAACAATGGAAGAGGGCATACAGTCTCACACTACAGTGAACATAGAGGTTAAAGTCATTTACAAAAGATGGGCTCTGGAAAATTTGAGGTTGTTGTCTTCTAACATGACCGCGTTTCTATCCCTGTTGCGTTTCTCCACAATCTTTTTATCCTGTGAATCTTAAACTATTTGATTAAGTCATTTCATTAGTCATTAATAGAAATAATAATAATAATAATAATAATAATAATAATAATAATAACAAAAGTCATTAAGCCCAGCAGAAATAAAGATATTCTAAGGAGACAATTGTGTTTTAATCTGATTATCTAACTATTGGAACCTCGTGCTGGGAAAAAGAAAAGACACCAGCCAGGAAAGAGATTTCATATAGCTCTAATGACTTGTCAGACCATCTTGCAGGATGAGACTAATGGCCAGATAATGAGTCAGAGGTGGGTGAGACCACACCTTGACCAGGACTGGTCAGATCTCATATTAAGTCTCACTTCAGGACCCCCGAGGGTGGAATTGGGGCAGAGTTTTCTTTTCTTTCAATATGGCCATGTTCGATAAGTCTCCATTCACTTCTTTCTACTATTTAAATGTGGCCCTTTTAAATAGCTTATAGAAGGTGGGTAGCCAAACTTAGCTTGGGCACAGGCTGTGACTCCTGTTTGGACTAATGGGACTTTTTAATGCTAGCTCTCGTCTTGTTTTAAACAACCATGTGATGCAGCATCTTTCAATGTGCCTATGGACACATTTTCTCTCATTTTCCCCTCTGGCCAACAGTTAGACTTATACTATACAACAACATGTGACTCCCTTGGAAACATGCTCTTAGAACCCCTGTAGCAGGACTATACAACAACATGTGACTCCCTTGGAAACATGCTCTTAGAACCCCTGCAGTAGGGGGGTTCTAAGAGAGAGAGAGAGAGAGAGAGAGAGAGAGAGAGAGATGACTAGGGATCAGAGAGGTGAGGTCATCAATGCTGGACTGATAATTTTGTAGGATCACAAGCTGTGGATACTGAAGTGCTGGGGATACTGCAGGAATGCTAAGCAGGTCCTTGGGATAGTTGCCCACATTGAATTTCTAAGTATTCATAGCTTCAAAGATACTTGCAAAGGATTAGAAAATGCTAAGCAGGTCCTTGGGATAGTTGCCCACATTGAATTTCTAAGTATTTATAGGTACAAAGATACTTGCAAAGGATTAGAAGTTTGCAGAAACTGAGCATACAGAAGGGGGTTTGTTTTAAGCTTTCAGTTTTAATTAAGTATATGTGTCAAGGAGGTGTGTACATATAGTGCAGGTGCCCACAGAAGCTAGAAGGGAGCCGGATCCCCTGAAGCTGAAATTATAGACAGTTATGAGCCACAATGTAGATTAGACTCTGGGAACGAAACTTGAGTCCTCAGTGAGAACAGTACACATTCATAATCCTTGAGCCACCTCTCGGGGCCCCAGAGGATGATTTACCTGTGAGGCTGTCAGAGTACACAGTGCAAGAAGATGGGGGTTATAAATAAGTAATGCACTACTATATTCCCACCAAGGTACGACACTGAAAACAGCAGTCTCTTAGATTTCATGTATAGAATATTTGAATTTTTTTT